ACCTCGGGGGCGGGGCCCTCGCATGACACGTCGGACAGCAGCCGCCTGGGAGGCCCGGGACGCGGAGCGCAGCTGGAGGGGCAGCGGAGCAGCGCGGGGGTTCCGGCTTTCGCTGCTGGCTCTGCTCGGCGGGGAGGGAGCGGGCCCGCCTGCTGGGCCCGGGCCCTCCGGATCCGCCCCCTCCCCGGTCCCGCCCCCTCGGAGCCTCCTGGGGCTGCGCGGGGGCCGGGGGCCCGCTGTCGGGACGCCATGCGGGCGTCGCTACTGCTGTCCGTGTTGCGGCCCGCGGGGCCTGTGGCCGTGGGCATCTCCCTGGGCTTCACCCTGAGCCTGCTCAGCGTCACCTGGGTGGAGGAGCCTTGCGGCCCGGGGCCGCCCCAACCCGGAGACTCTGAGCTGCCGCCGCGCGGCAACACCAACGCGGCGCGCCGGCCCAACTCGGTGCAGCCCGGAGCGGAGCGCGAGAGACCCGGGGCCGGCGCCGGCGCCGGTGAGAGCTGGGAGCCTCGTGTCTTGCCCTACCACCCGGCACAGCCCGGCCAGGCCGCCAAGAAAGCCGTCAGGTACTGATCCGCTCCATCCGCCTCCCCCCCCCCTCCTCCCCGGGTACCAACCCGGACGCGCGTGCTGGGGAGGCCGCCGGAGGCCGGGTCAGGCTCCGGAAGGAAGGGGCTGGCCGGCCAGGAAGTCCTTGGGCCTCGATTACTTCCTATGACCCTGCTTTCCAGGGAGGCAGGGGGCCAGTTTGAAGCTTTTTCTGGATCACGCTCGGATCTGAGCTGAGCTAAACAGGCTGCACCCATAGTTCCCCAAAGACCCTCTCGGCCCCTCGCTGGTCTGTTTAGGATTAGAGAAATTAGTGTTAAGGAGGATAAGTGTATAAAGAAGAAGAAAGAAAACGGAGGGAACTGGAATTTACCTGTATTTCATTCCTCGATGGGTTTCAAGGGCCACCTTGGGATGAGATGGGAGAGGGAGGAAGGTACTCATCACATTGATGCCTCTGCCCACGAACTGAAGTAATTCCTTCTAAGTAACAGTGACTTCCAGTTGTACAAGTTACCTTCTACCTTAGGAAGGTGAGTTACTGTCATAGTTTGCCCCTTCTGGAAAGACATTCTCTACAACACTGTGGCATATATTCCTACACATCATTAGTAGTAGGACATTCTTGGGGGGAATGACAGCATCTTCGTATAGCAGGAAGTATATGCAAGGTGTGCCAAGCACTTTACTGTTTAAATACAACCAGTCCCATTTTACAGGTGGCTCAAATTAAGTGTCACGCTTAGGGACACAACTACTATCCTGTGAAACCTGGAATTAGATCTACTATCTCTCTCTCTCTCTTTACCTGCATGAAAATTGCTATCTCCTAAACGCTAAGACCTGTATTTCCCTTAAATTCTCATGCCTTGTGGGAGAGATATTATTCTTACCCTGTTTATGGGTGCAAAACAGGCCCAGAGAAGAAAGAACAGGCGGAGCCTGTGTGCTATTCTGTTTGTAACTGTCTTTTCCCAGAACTCGGTATATCAGCACGGAGCTGGGCATCAGGCAGAGGCTGCTGGTGGCAGTGCTGACCTCACAGGCCACGTTGCCTACACTGGGCGTGGCTGTGAACCGAACTCTGGGACACCGATTGGAGCGTGTATTGTTCCTGACGGGTGCTCGGGGTCGCCGGACCCCATCAGGCATGGCCGTGGTGACACTGGGCGAAGAGCGGCCCATCGGACACCTGCACCTGGCGCTACGCCACCTGCTGGAGCAACACGGCGATGACTTTGACTGGTTTTTCCTAGTGCCCGATGCCACTTACACTGAGGCGCACGGACTGGACCGTCTAGCTGGCCACCTCAGCCTTGCCTCGGCAACCCATCTCTATCTTGGTCGGCCCCAGGACTTCATCGGTGGAGAGACCACCCCAGGCCGCTACTGCCACGGGGGCTTTGGAGTGTTACTGTCGCGCACGCTGCTGCAGCAGCTGCGCCCCCACCTGGAAAGCTGCCGCAACGACATCGTCAGTGCTCGCCCAGATGAGTGGTTGGGACGGTGCATCCTTGATGCCACGGGCGTGGGCTGTACTGGTGACCATGAGGTAGGAAGATGAGGCTCCCCGTTAGTGTCTCCTCTCAGAGCTTGCATAGTTCCCAGGAGAGATATGGAGTGGTAGAGAGAGAGGCCTGGGTTTCCATGTTAAATCTATCATTTTTAAAAATCCCAGTGGTCCTAGGTAAATTACTAGATCTGAGCTTCAGTAGCCCGGTGCATGCAGATGGGAACAGTTATTAGGCAGGGCTGTGTAGGGATTAGGGAAAAGTAAGAGATGCCTGCATACTGTGTGTATTCAGGGTCAGTTATTTTATTGAGTCCCGTGGACACCTCTGAGGCAGCTTTCACAGATGAGCTCAAAGAGATTTGGCCAGGGTTGTACAACATCAGCTGATCACATTGACTTAAAATCTACAGAACTCTGACTCCCAAGTCCATAGCATCAGGAGATGAGACACTAGCTGGGAGATGGGGGAAGACCGTTCTGTTATTGTTCCCATTATGGATGCCTCCCTTCCTCTCTATGGATGCCTCCCTTCCTCTCTATGGATGCCTCCCTTCCTCTCCGCAGGGGGTACACTACAGCTATCTGGAGCTGAGCCCTGGGGAACCTGTGCAGGAGGGGGACTCCCGTTTCCGCAACGCCTTGACAGCCCACCCTGTGCGTGATCCTGTGCACATGTACCAGCTACACAAGGCATTTGCCCGGGCTGAGCTGGACCGCACGTACCAGGAGATTCAACAGTTGCAGGTACAATCTGGTGTTGAGGGTTGGGGGAATCAAGGGGTGAAGGGGAACAGGTTCTGAGAGATCGTGGGGAATAAAAAGTCAGCGCTAAAATCCCAGGTCTTTCTTTGACCTCTGTGGAACCTCCAGGAAATCCCCCCTTTTAATTTTCAAGCGGCCTCAACCTGTGGAGAGACTGTGTGGGGCCCTTGGGTGAGCAGAGGTTTGCAGTAGGCTGCGGGTCCTCCTTGAGTATCACTGCCCACATAGCCTCTAGGTGTCTACTGGCTCTGTGGCTTCCTGCTTTGCTCATGGTCTATTTTCTGGCCCAGTGGGAAATCCAGAATACGAGCAGACTGGCTGCTGATGGGGAACGGGCTTCTACCTGGCCAGTAGGCATTCCAGCACCATCTCGCCCCGCCTCACGCTTTGAGGTTCTGCGCTGGGACTACTTCACGGAACAGTACGCTTTCTCCTGTGCTGATGGCTCGCCCCGTTGCCCGCTGCGTGGGGCCGACCAGGCTGACGTGGCTGATGTTCTGGGGACAGCCTTAGAGGAACTCAACCGACGTTACCAACCAGCACTGCGGCTCCAGAAGCAGCAGCTGGTGAATGGCTACCGGCGTTTCGATCCAGCCCGAGGCATGGAGTACACACTAGACTTGCGGCTGGAAGCACTGACGCCCCAGGGTGGCCGCTGGCCCCTCACCCGAAGAGTACAGCTCCTCCGGCCCTTGAGCCGGGTGGAGATCTTGCCGGTGCCCTATGTCACGGAGGCTTCTCGGCTCACTGTGCTACTTCCGCTGGCCGCAGCCGAGCGCGACCTGGCTTCCGGCTTCCTGGAGGCCTTCGCCACTGCAGCGCTGGAGCCCGGTGATGCAGCATCCTTGACCCTGCTGCTGCTGTATGAGCCACGCCAGGCCCAGCGAGCGGCCCACGCAGATGTCTTCGCACCTGTCAAGGCCCACGTGGCAGAGCTAGAGCGGCGTTTCCCTGGTGCCCGAGTGCCCTGGCTCAGTGTGCAGACAGCTGCACCCTCTCCGCTGCGTCTCATGGATCTCCTCTCCAAGAAGCACCCACTAGACACTCTGTTCCTGCTGGCCGGGCCAGACACAGTGCTCACACCCGACTTCCTGAACCGCTGCCGGATGCACGCCATCTCTGGCTGGCAGGCCTTCTTCCCCATGCACTTCCAGGCCTTTCACCCCGCCGTGGCTCCACCTCAGGGGCCTGGTCCGCCGGAACTGGGCCGGGACACCGGCCACTTTGATCGCCAGGCTGCCAGCGAGGCGTGCTTCTACAACTCCGACTACGTGGCGGCCCGGGGACGGCTGGTGGCAGCCTCCGAGCAGGAGGAGGAGCTGCTGGAGAGCCTGGACGTGTATGAGCTGTTTCTGCGCTTCTCCAGCTTGCACGTGCTGCGGGCGGTGGAGCCGGCCCTGCTGCAGCGCTACCGGGCCCAGCCGTGCAGTGCGCGCCTCAGTGAGGACCTGTACCACCGCTGTCGCCAGAGTGTACTCGAGGGCCTCGGCTCCCGCACCCAGCTTGCCATGCTACTCTTTGAGCAGGAACAGGGCAATAGCACCTAAGCCCCTTCCTTACCTGTTTCCTGTTCTTCCCGGATAACCTGGAGCCACACGCCAGCCTCGCTGGACAGGGCTGGCGGTAGCCTCAGACCCTAGGGCAGCCCACTGGTCCCTTGTCTTTTGCTTTGTGGGCCCGTGGGCTCAGGACAAGCCCTGAGAGAGGTGCCCTAGAGCCATCCTCTCTTGTCCAGTCTCTCTGCCCCGCCCCCTCCCTCCCCCCTTGACGCTGCTGACTCAGGCTGTGGCCTCTGTATTTATGCCTGACGCCAGCCATGGTTCCTGGGATCTTGTCCGGGGAGCTGGGCTGTAGATGGGTTGTTGGAGAAGGAGGGAACAGAGAAAGGAGGGAGGGGTATGGTATCTACCACCTTCTCCCTTCTGGATCCATGATGAAGCCCTGGCTTTAATAAACTGACTCCATGTGGACTAATGAGTATAGACTGGTGATTCAGAGTTTTGGCAAGACAGGCGTGGGAGCGGTGAGAACTGACTCTAAGGATGGAGGGGCCCTGTTTCTGTGAGGGCTTTCATTTCCTTTTACAGGGATCAAGTCCTACAGCTGCCCAGCCCCTGGCAAGTGTATGCCAGCACGCTCATGCGTGCGCGCTCTCACACACACACACACAGACACAGAATTCTTTGTGACTCTTTATTCCCAATTTCGCCTGCACTTTATAAAACCAGTCTTTAGGAAGCAAGGACTGAGAAGGCCGCTCCCCCTCCCGCTAAGCTTGGCCGAGGTCTGAAAGGTCTTCCGCCCGCTCCTCATGGAGGGAACTTGTGGTGGGGCTGGTACAGGGGGGACTGGGAGCTGGGCCAGGCCTGCTGGGCCACCCACTCCCCCTGCCAAGAGGGGAGCTGGGCCTGGAGAGAGGGAAGTAGAACCAGCCCAACATGCCTAGGTCCCAAGGAGTTGCCATCTACCTCTAGGGCTGGGACCCTGACTATCCCGTGTCACCCTCCCCTGCAGCCCCACCCTTGTATGTCTGTGTCCCACCCCCACCCAGTCCCTAAATATATACAAATGTACAGCGGGGCCCTGCCAGGGTTCCACCTCCCCTGTCTTTCTCTTCCTCCCTCCCCTCCTCAGGGGCCTCTAGTCTGGTCTTCAGCCCTTCCTGGACACCCGCCTGGGAGCAGGGAGTGTGGACAAGAAGGACCCTTGTGCAAGGCAGCCAAGCCTGGGTCGGGGAGAGCAGGACCCCAGTCCTGGCCTCTCAGTGAGCACCACCCCCTTCCCTTAGCCCTGGGCTGCCCCAGGTCTTCTGTCCCAGGACCAGGAGATGTGGGGGGGGCCTGGGTGGGTAGAGTCCCAGACTCATGGGTACTTCCCCACACAGCACCATCCTAGCAAGCAAAGTCTTCAAAGAGGCTTCCTGGGGGCCCGTGGGGGTGGTGATGGTTGGGAAGCAGGCTGCTAGCTCCTCCACCCTCAGCACGCCCCCGGCTTGGACAGGGACTCTGTAAAATGACAAAGGGAGGGGACAGTGGTCAAGTTGTGTACTCAAGTCTCAACAATGGCTTTTCCTTCTCCTCTGGGGTGTTTTGGGAACTTTTAGGCCTTGGAGAGAGGGTGCTCTCCAGGTTGGGAGGAGAGTAAGTTACTCACCTGTTCTTTCAGCTCCTGTAGCCCCAAAGTGGAGATACCCCCCGTGGATGTCCGCAGTGGGGTCTTGGGCCGTCGCCACACCCTCTTGAGTCGATCCCAGGAGACCTTGCAGGTCAAGGTGGTGTATAGAAGGGTCTCAGTTAAAGGACTTGTTGCCTAGCAACCCCTTTCATAGGGTAGGTCCTCATCCCCAACCCAGCCTCTTCAGAGCCAGACCCTCAGGCACTTCTAGAACCCTGAGCCCACTGTCCAGCCAGACCAGCCCACCTAGGAGCCATGTCCATTCACATTGCCTTTCCTACATGCCCTTACCTCATAGATGTAGTCAAGGATCTCCAGCAAGGTGAGGATGCTAGCCCCAATGAACAGGCCCATCTGTCCCCCAAGGTCCCCTGAGGAGCAAGAGGGCAGGGTCAGTGGGGACAGGCTGGGCTGATCCACACATGAGTGGGGGCAAAGATCAGGGCTTACCCAGCAGGGCTGACAGGCCATAGGCTGCTCGCTGTTCCATGGCTTCAGACGTTAGGGCCTCGAAGAAGACATCCAGGACTAGGAAGTTCTCCCTGGGAAGTGTGAAAGGACAGCTATGTGGGGCTGCTGGTCTTGAGGGGGCAGCGGTCAAGGGCATCCTCAGGCTAGCTGATCCTGATCTAAGACCCCTATGTGCTGGGGAGCTGGTGGCTTCAGAGGGAGCCGGGTCCAGCTGTGTTAGCTTTGTGGTTGTTTTGCTTTGTTTTTCTGAGAAAGGGTTTCATATAGTCCACACTGGCCTCGATCTCCCTACGTATCAGAGGAGAAAGACATAAATGGGTCTAAAACACTGGCATCAGCAGTGGCAGGGGTGGGTACAAGGAGCTGTGGCAGCTCAGACTTGGGCCGGGAAGGGCTTTCCTGGAAGTGGACCAGGATGTAACTCAAAGGATGGCAGTTAGTAAGATTGTGAATGGCATTCCTGGCAGGATATCCAATACACACAAAGCAGCAGCTCATTCTCAGTCCCTACTCTGCCCGGGGCCTGCCCAAGGGCCCTCTCCACAGAGCCCATCTGTGGGCATGGCTTACCGGATGTAGGTCTCATTGCGGTTGTACTTCCTCGCCAGGTACCTGGCAGAGCCCCTGTTGGGGATCTTGACCATGGAGATCTCTTTGCCATAGCGAGTCAGGTTGCACGGGGTGGGGCAGAAGCATGGGCCCTCAGAGCCTCCGCCCAGGGAGTCTGCGACACAAAGACAGGCACCAGCTGGGGTGGGGTGGGTGGTCCACAGCCCCACTAGCTATGGGGACAGGCACAGAGTCTATCCTGAGCTGGCAAGTCCATCCGAGGGGCCAGACTTGCCACCTCCTAGAGCATGCTGATTGCAGGCCGCCTCAAACCAACTTTAAACTACCCATGACGGCAGCGCCTCCACAGATCTCTCCCTCTGTCCCCAGCTGCCTGGGACAAGGAGGGCCCGTGGCTCAGAAGGTGAGAGCATATCTGCCAGAATTAGTCAACACGAGGTCTCAGACACACAGGGAGTTAAGGAAAGGATGCTGGGATGGAAGGGAGGGAATATGGGTGGATGGACAGATGGACAGAACAAACAGGGTTCACACACTTGATATGCTCCATGTCCCTGCTCGCCCCTGCAGGCCCCCTTTCCACCCTCTTCCTCCTTGCCTTATGCCCCGGGAGGCTGCTGATCCTTGTCAAATCCATCACCTTGACCCCTTTGCCCTCCAGCCTGTGGTCAGGCAGGTGAGGAAGAGAGGGCAGAGGAGCCTGGGTACTTCTTTCCCGTTTCTCCAGTTTCCAGGCCACAGGTAGGTAGAGGGTGCATTCTTCCTCTTGTACCACACTGCCACTGTCTGCTCCTCTCAAACAGCCCTAGGTGCGCGCTCTCTCTCTGTCTCTCTCTGTCTCTCTCTGTCTCTCTGACTCTCTTTGTCTGTCTCTGTCTCTCTCTCTCTGCTCCGTGATCCATCCATCCATCCTTCCTTCCTTCCTTCCGGCCCGAGAGTGAAGGCTCCCTGGTGTCACTTATTTCGTGGACTCTCACCACACCCATGGCTCCCCTTCTCCAGCTGATGTCTGTTCCTTTTTTTTTTTTTTTTCTTTTTGGTTTTTCAAGACAGGTTTTCTCTGTGTTGTTTTGGTGCCTGTCCTGGATCTCACTCTGTAGACCAGGCTGGCCTTGAACTCACAGAGATCCACCTGGCTCTGCCTCCCGAGTGCTGGGATTAAAGGCGCCACCGCTGCCCGCCCTGTTCCTTTTTTTTAATGTTCTTCTCTTGCACACCCGACAGGTGCAGGTGGTATGGGGCATAGAGGAGGTCTCGGTACACCGGTCTGCTACCCCAGCATCTCAAATGCATCCCCAGAGGTCCATCACATCTAGATTTCTGCAGTGAGCTCCTAGCTGGTGTCCTGCTTCAAGCTTCTGTATCTCACCCACTCACCTTTCCACTTAGCCTCAAGCCCTGGTTGGCTTCCCAGAACCTCCCTCTTCTACTTTCTGCTGCCTCCCTTGACCTCTGCCTCCAGCTATACTGACCTTTGGGTGATCTAGACAAAGCATGCTTCCTCTAGCCACAAGATATCTGGGACATGGGACATGCTATCCCTACTCCTGGAGGCCTTCACATCTCTGCTAATATGTAGCTTTCCATGTAGAATCCTCTGGCCTTTCTAGAGGAGGGGGCCACATGTCCCTCCCCAGGCCCTTCTAACATCCTATTCAAGAACTGTTACACTGTTAGCATGGATCCTCACTAAGTGTTCATGGACAGGACTCTTGGTCCCTCATTCTCAACACTCAGAACAGGTTGAATAGGTCTAGAGAATGAATCAGTCAGTTGTTAGGGGGGTGGGTGAGTGGATAGATGGGTGGATGGATGGATGGATGGATGGATGGATGGATGGATGGATGGGTGGATGGATGGATGGGTGGATGGGTGGGTGGATGGATGGGTGGGTGGGTGGGTGGATGGATGGGTGGGTGGATGGGTGGGTGGGTGGGTGGGTGGGTGGATGGGTGGGTGGGTGGATGAGCTGCAGATCAGGTGAGGCCTGTGGAAAGCTGGAGTTTGTTTTATCCATACTGACATCCAGCGATGTATTTTTCCTGGGGCTCAGAAGTCATTTCACTTTCTCAGAGAGAGGGGGGATAGGGGGAGAGGGGGAGCGCAGAACTGAGATGAGAAGCCCAGCCCTTCACTCACGGTCTTGGGTTCTCTGCGATATCTCCCCATGGCCTGTTACCACTTGCCCAAGTGTCTGAACCTGCGGAAGCCCTCAGGCCTGTCCCCCTCAGGTGTGAGATAAAGCTCAAGCTCAGCAAGACCCTCCCCCAGGACAGGTTGGGAGGAGAGGTGAGAAGCCACAGAGGAGAAGAAGGGTACTCAGAGGATGAAGAGAGCGGGGAGAGGCGGGGAAAGGGAAGGCAGCACACACCCAGTGTGTGGTCGGCACATTCAATGTAGATATTTGGCGGGCAGATGGTCTCATTGCCTGGAAGGAGAGAAGAGTATTTCTGAGATCTACAGTCCTTTCCCTTCTCCCTTACCACACACCCATGTGGGCATCCACATATATGCATGTTTGCACATAGACATAACAGATCAACGTATGCATACTCATGCATAAAAACAATGAAAATGCATATATACACATACACATGTAATCATTCACTTACTTACACAACCATGTGTATACTCTTACGTTCATGCACACAACCCCAACACACACACATACACAGCAAATATATATTAGCATGCCCACAAGCATGTATATACATGCATTCCCAAACATGGGAAAAATATCCAGACATACCCATGAGCACATGCTCACGAGTGTGGACACATGTACATATTGTACGCATGTTTCTGCCCCTGGAAGTTCAAGAGCCCAGAAGAGTGGCACCAGAGACTGGCTGGAGGTGCCCACCTGGCATGTGCACCATCCGGCAGTGGCAGCGCTGGAGCACGGCCTCCTTCTCACACCGCAGTCGGCAGGCAGACACACTATAGGCTGAGTAGCCCTGAAGCTCAGGCTCCCTGAGCTCGCTCTCCGCCCGGCAGTTGCCCCAAGGCTGGGGCAGATAAGTCAGCTGCAGAGATGGGGCATGACAAGGTCAAAGCCAAGCGTGTCGGTCAAGGCCAGTCCTCCAGTGTCAGTAGCCCCAGCAAGGCCATGGGGCTGGCAGACGGGATGTCTGCAAGGCAGATCTGGCCAGCATCCCTTGAAACAGAGATTCGCGCTGTGCCCAGGCTAGGCCTAGCTGGAAATGCTCACCCGCTGTTCCTGGCAAGACACAAAAGTCTGGAAGCCTGGGGACACACCGAACCCCAGCTGATGGATGTAGGGAGGCTCCTCCTGGCTGTGGATCTGCACCCGGATACCAGCCTCAAATGACGTCTCATCTGCCCAGCAGAGATGAAGAGCTTCAGAACCTACTCCAGGCAGAGCGCAGAACCCAGGCCCCACCCCTGAGTTGGCCCTTATCCTTTTCCCTGCCCCATACTTGTCTCCCTCCATATGGGTAGGTATTCCTCCTGCTGGATGTCTAGCATGATCTCCAGGCCACTACCCATGCCACCAGCCCGGCTGGGCAGTGAGCTCTGAGGATCTGCATTGAAGGTGTAACACTTCCCATAGCGAGTGTAGACCTGGAGGGAGATAGAACATGTCAGTAACAGAACTCCTTTTTTAAAAAAAAATATTCTGGCAGGTTCTCACTGTGTCGATCAAGTTGGATCTACTCCTCCCCAGGGCCTTGCAGCACCCCAGGAATTTCTCTGCCCAAGAGTTGCTGCACTGTGTGAACAAGAGCTCCCCATATAGCTGGCCTTGAATTCACAATCCTCTTGCTCTAACCACACGAGCTCTGGGAATACACGTGTGCACCACCATGCCAGGCTCAGACGCTTGCTATTCCCGTCCTGCCTTCCCTCCACTGAGTAAAGGGTCCTCTTATTGCTACTTAGTTTTTTGAATCAGGATCCCTAAAATCTGCACCTCCTCCCCTCCCATAGCAAACTAACACGGTCTCCACCTACCTGGTCCTCCCTTCATCCACCCCTTCCTTCTATTCTCTACACGGCTGTCAAAGCACTCAAGCCAACCAAGTCCCCCTGCCAGATTTTGTCTGTAGCTTACACACCATGCTACAGATACACAACAAGGGATTCACAATAAGACTTACTTCGTTATTGTGCTTGTGTGCATTTGTACCCGGTCTGTACCTTCAGGTGGAGGCCAGAGATTTAAAAACAAGTGTCTTCCCCAGTCACCTTCCACCTTACTTTTGGAGACAAAGCCTTTCACGGAGCATGGAGATCATCAATTTGGCGAGGCTGGCTGGCCAGTAAGCTCCAGGGATCCTCTTTTCTCTGCCTCCCCAGCACTGGGATTACAGGCACGTGCCCCCGTGTCCAGTTTTTTACATGGATGCTCAAAGTCCTCACGCTGGCATGGCAAGCCCTTCATCCACTGAGCCATCCCCCAGCCCCAGTAAAACTTACTTTTAAACAAGACTACCCTAAACAACAATGGCTTCCCATTTTCCAGAGAATGAAGCCAGACTCTTTCCCTAGCCTTAAAGTGGCCCTTCAGTGTGGCCCTGACCCTCTTCTGCCCCTCCACTCCTGCAACTGTGACAAACTCAAACATCTGGTACTCCCGTTCACCTCAGATTTTTGTTGTCGCTCCCTCTCCAGGCGCCCCACTCACCTCACACCCCATGCTCACTCTGTTAAATTGTTCAGTATATGCATCAAGGCCTGAGATTTTGCTCATCTACTCACTTCCTGACCATTGCCCATGTCCTCCACTAGAGAGCACTCTGCACAGGAGCAGGAACCCGCCTGGTGTCCCATATACTTGTCCCACGGTGGGGCACAGAAGGAGCTTTCGTAAACCTTTCCTATCCAAAGCCCAGCTCGTCTCCTTGATGAGCATTCTTCCCCTCAGACACCAGATGGCGCTGGTGACCCAAAGATGAAGGCACAGGCTCAGCCGGGGGATTTTAGTGGCTGCCTGGAGTCACTGAGCAGCTGGAATGGGAGAGCTACTGAAAAAGAGGCGGATTCTAGCTGCCCCCTGCCAGGCTCACCCCACAGAGACGTGCCCCTGGGTCAAACCCATCACAGGCAGCACCTTCTCTGGGGGCAAGGGGGTCAGTGTGCCCCAACACTATCTCCACCCCTTTCCTGGGAATGCACGTGCTCACACTGTAAGAGCTGGGAAGGGGCACGAAGTGGCGTGAAGGGGAAAGAATCTCCCCAGGCTTGACTGAGTGCTGAAGGAAGAGGCTGGGCCGAGAGCTGGGAAGTGGAGTTCTGAGGCAGTCTGAGGGGACCGCCGGGGACATCTTGGGGGGTGGTGGTGGAGTTCTGTCCTCCCTCCTCTGGTGAGTTAGCTATCTGCAGCTTCAGCAATCTCCTACCCCCACCCCACCCCCTACCCCAGTACTTCCTCCTCCCAAACTGATTTCTGAAACAACAACAAAAGGCGCAGAGCAGGCGCCTTGACATTTACAAAACATGAAAACACCTACTGCTACGCTGTGTCATCTACCCAGGGCCTCTGATTTTAGACGTGTTTAATGACCTTGGTTACAGAAAAGGAAACTGAAGCTCAGAGAGGTGTAGGGACTGGAATGAGGCCACACAGCTAGTGGTCTGGTCGGATGGAACTCATGGGGATGCAAAGCTCCAGCCACTCCCATAATTCATTACTAGCATCCTCAGGATGGAGAGAGATGGGATGTCCTCGTACTGGACCTTCCTTCCCCTGCTCCTCTGTACCTTCAACTCCATTCCTCAGCCCCTTCCTCTCAGTGTCTTCTGTCCCCTCCAGCTTCTGGGGTCCAGTCCTTGTCCCCATCTGGATCCAGTCCTGTCTCCACCTGTACCCTCCATCACAGTAGGTCCCCTGTGGAGCATCCCAGGGACCTCACAGGAGTGGGCATCACAGACACCTTAGAGCATTCAAAGTGCCCCAGGCATGTTAGGGTCCATGCTCAGGCTAATCGAACCTCCACAACTACCCAGAGGGCAAATGAGGAGACAGAAGCTCAGAGAACTGGACCAGCTTGCAGAGGTCTCCAAGATCAGTGTTCCTCAAATGCCGATTCATACCCAGATCCCCTTTGTAAAGTGCTGCTTCTGGTTTAGTACATGGAGGTAGAAGGACTCCCTGGAACGAAATTCTGCGTTTCTACAAACCTGCTGGTCCGTGGACCACACAGTAAGTAGACAGGTCTAGTTGAACAAGGCACGGTGGCACAGGCCTGTAATCCCAGCAGCTCCGGACTGAGGCAGGAGGACTATAAATTCACGGCTGGCCTGAGCTGCAAACTGAGTTCAAGCCTAGCTCCAGCAACTTAGTGAGACCCTATCTCGAAATTAAAAAAGTAAAGAGGGCCAGGAATATAGCTCAGTGGTAGACTGAATGCCGTGGGGGTAGGGGGTCCTATGTTCCATCTCCGGTGCTGAAACTGAAAATGACTAGAAGATACAAGAGTCAAGCAAGACAGCTTGGGCCTAGTCATGGTCTTGGGACATGTCTGTGGAGGGAGAGGAACCTGGAGTGGGCTGAGTGCAAGACTCCTGACTCCCTAGTAACATGGGAAAGGCAGATCCAGGGAATGTAGAAGTGCCCAACATCTTCCTGTTTCAGGCCAAGAAGACGCTGGAATCAGTTCCTGCCAACTCAGCCAGTTTTGAGTGCATGCTTGAGTTGAGAGGCTAAATGAGGCCCAGGCTATGTGAGGGAACCCCGGGTCTGTGTTGCTCACGCGTGTCTGCCAAGCAATGCCACAGTCTCTCTGGAGCTTAGCCTCACTCACAGGTCTCCAATTCCCTGAAGCATGGATCGCTGCTTCCTTCCCTCTTGGCATTCCCAAAGTCCACTGAGATTAGCAAAAGGAAAGGCTAAGGGCAGGAGAATGTCAAGCATGATCAGACATCCTCATTTCGTCCCAGGTGAATTTTTTTCCCCCGAGATATGGTTTCTCTGTGTAACAATCCTGGCTGCCCTGGAACTCACTTTTGTAGACCAGGCTGGCCTTGAACTCACAGAAATCTGCCTGCCTCTGCCTCCCAAGTGCTGGGATTAAATGTGTGTGCCACCACCACCCGGCATCTCAGGTCTTTTTTAGAAATGCTTTTGGTATATTTTCTCCTTGGAGCGTTGGCGCAAGCCACATGAAGTAATTGTTGCCGCTGTGAAGGATGAAGTAACTGAAACTCAGAGAGGGAAAGGGGCTTGGCTAAGTGCACACAGCCAGCAAAGGGCAGGAGAGAACTGAACCAGACGGAAGCCCATGTACAATACAATCAGTACTTAGGAAATACCTGGTGTGGGCTCAGTGGATGAAAGATGCTCCCTTGGTAGAACAGTCCTGTAGATTTATATTTCAACATATGTACACAGACGCATGCCACTGGACAGTGAGTCCAGCCCCCTGCACGATGGACCTCATCCCTAACTTGGGAGGAGTTGGTTACCTAGCAAATGTGCTGATGACATGGTTGTATACCGGCAGGGGTGGGGGGCTGTGAGTGACACAGAAGGCGTGTGGAAATAGTCCGGGTTCAAAGGACACTCTAGAGAGAATGGACAGGCCAGACTGTCAGGACTGGGCCACCTGCACAGCCTGGGTCAGGCCCCACTGCTGGGAAGAGCACGTCGTTGCCCCGGAGACAGTCCCTGGCCCAGACATTGGTGGTGGAGCCAGCCACTGGCTCCTAAGTGGTAGAATTCTGGTGGCAGCACAGCCCACAGCTTCTTCCATGGAGACGGCACGGCCGTTCAGCCGCAAGGTCCCACTGGCTGTCCACTGCTTCCTCCCCATGGACTGGTCTGAAAGGAGGATGTGTATACAAGAGTTGAGAGCCTGGGGGCCCAGTCACAGAGAGGGTTGACGCTGAGCCAAGAAGTGTCCTGATGGTGGAAGGGCCATTTCCAGATAACCTCAGCTTCGAAGCGCTGCCCATGGGGCCTTGATCCTGTCAAATCCCTATCACCTCCTCTCTATCTTGGCTTCCAGTCCCATGGTATACCAGCCCGAGCTGGAGTGTGTAACCTCTCGGAACTTCCCTGAGCTCAAAGTGGATGGGCTGTAAACAGGACAGCCAGGGTCCCTCCACCAGCTTCCTCTAGCCAGCCCTCCTCTGGTCCCTCTCTGGTTATCTCTCCCAACAGCAGTGGCCCGGATCACTGCCTGTTTCCCGATCTGTCTGTCTCTCCACTTCTTTAGCTCCCTGGTTTACCTTTTCTGGGCACCCAACCAGAGTGCCTCTGGACTCAGTTTCTCTGCTTCTAGCCATTGGCCAGCCTGTTTATCATCCCAGCATCCCTTTCTCTCCTAGATGCTGTCCGGCCCCTTTGTCCCTTGCCCTGTCTACCTCTATCTTATTTACTTTTCTCTGTGTCCATGTGAGTATTCAGTTTCTTGTCTTCCTCCTAGATTTTACTATGGGTCTAAGGTTACTCAGAGGCCCTCCCTAGTCTCCTCTCTCTCCCCTCCCCCAATCCCCAACCCTCCCCATCTGCCGGAGACAATGATCAGGAGCTGGAAGAGATCTGTCCAGAGCTTGCTCCCCTGAGCGATGGCTTCTCTCTCAGCCCTCTGAGCTCCATCCATCCACAGCTCCCATTTCCC